CGGGTTTGGGATTCCTCCAGTCCGGCCTTTTGCATGATGTTGGTATGGATACCCATATACAAAATACCTGCAATAACGGAACACTTTCCTGCTACTCTGAACTCCTAAAAATGTAAATGTGAGGATAAAATATACAACTGAATGAGATTGCTTTACTACTTCTTGTAGTTGCCTTGTATTTTAGACAATATGAGTTTCCCTTGAGAATGAACACTACTTGTAGCTTTGCTTTTGAATTGAATTACAATGCCTCTGCAATTGCAGTTGTTTCCAGTTGGGACACTGAATATAAAATTCATCCAGTATTCAGTCTTTTTCTGCCAGCTCTCTATCCCAAAAATAGGAAGTGTAAAATTGTGTTGATGGAGTCTGTGGTAATTGGGAGGATACATCTTGCTTAGAAAGTATTGGATCTTGAAGTCATTCTGTGGGGACGCTTATGGCACTTTGGTACCAACTGAGCAAAAAACAAAAAGAAGTTTTAGCTTGGATTACGTATCTAGTTGTGGAGCCAGAGGTTGCGAGTTCAATTCCCCAGTGTGTCTTCTGGAAGAGCCAGTTTATGTGGCTTTGGGCAAGCTGCACAGTCCCAGGATTTCCCCAGGAGAAGGGCAAACCACTTCTCAGTATTCTCTATGCGGAAAACCCAGAAAAGAATTGCCATAACTCAGAAATGACTTGATGGTACATGATTATTATTCTTTTCATTGTAACTCCCATTTTTGAACCTGTCCTTCTGATATTTTGCAGATTTTGTGCTTCAGGATATTTTTATGGCACATGCCTTTCCCTATATCATTAAAAAAATTATGGAGATCTATATGGGTTAAGGGGAAAGCAAATCCTTCCTCGAAGGTCTTCTATCCAAAACTTTGCCCTTATCCTTCTGAAAAATACAGGAAAAAAAATTAATGACCCTTCTGTTTTTGCCACTTTTGCATCCACTTCCCACAAAAGAAAATTTTAAAACTTCAAGTTGGTTTGTGTGTATGTTTGCAAAACCTATTTGTATGAAATATGGCTTTACAGAGTCACCATGTCTGCACATTTCATCCAATTCTAATAAACACAGAAAAGCTATCTATATGTGTTATGATATCCAATCATGGTCAATGGGAGGCATGAAGATTTGTATTTCTGAATCAAGATTCAGATTATTACTTCAGTTGAACGGGGTGAACTTTAACCAGAGATTAACCAAATTGGCTTGTTTTCTGAATACTGGATTTCAAACTTAATCTTGTAGTCAATATATATCCTGATATTTTTTTTACTAACAAGCAAAGCAACCAAAAACAAACAAAAGAAAACCCACAAATCTATGTAAACATGTAAAGTTTCAAATTTTTAAAATGCCCAGACCAAGAATGTTTCATCTTGCACATAGGTTGCAATAAAGGTTTTCTGTCAAGTTTCACCACTGTTCATTGGCTGCCCCACACGATACTGGATGACTTACACTGAAGGTAGCAGTTCACCACACATGATACTGATGCTGGATGACTTACACTGAAGGTAGCAGTTCTCTTCTTTTGGACAGCTGGCAAGAAACCACGAGCACTGGTGCACACAGAGCACAGAACAGCAAATAATGCACTTCATTTCTAGTATTTGACTTGGCTCTGAATGAATGCATTCATGTCCCTTTAGTGTACCGCATGAAACAGACTACTGAGGCATTATAGTGTTATAGGTTTTTAGTATAATCTAATGAAGGAGAAAAATCTGGAACATACAGCTGAGAGGGAGTGAGGAACAACTGGATTCCAAGTTGACTTGGAAACTTCAGGAGTTTTCCAAAAAAGAATAGTTCATAAAATGCCTGTCCCAGATTACACAGTTCTGCAGCAGAGAAAGCAAAGTACAGTACATGGAACGTTCAGACCAACCAAAAGGAACAACACAGTGTAAGGAAAGGTGCAGAAGCTTAGAAGAGAACACTATACAGTACTGAAATGCACATAGGTGGAATGCAACTAAAACAAAATGAAGGAATAGTAGTGGACTATTCTCTCTCTCTCGCATAGCAGCACACGCTATAGCCTGGAGACAGAAGAGAACTAGCAGGGCTGCAAAATGAGTGTCTAGGGCTGAAACTGTAACATTACTGATTTTTTTTTCTCATCAATTCTCACAATGGAGACTGGTCACTTAGATGTGTATAATTTAAAAGATTGGATACTGGGTTTTAATGCATCAAAGATAAAGGAAGCAAGTTAATAAGGTTCTTCAAATTCTGGAATTTATTTTGGTATCTTTTCGGTCTCTAAATAGATTCCCTTATACTTATAGCACACTCTAATCTCTAATTTAACTTGATTATGGCCTCACCTCGTTTCCTGGTATGCAGAAAGTGACCACAGAATAGGTATCAGGAAGTTACACCAAAATAACAAAATATTCAGAATTGTTTCAGCCTTTTGTTGTGCATAAGCTGAACAACTTAACAGATGATACAGGGAAATAAAAATTGGCTTCAGATTTGATGTTTCTCTTCTGTTCCTTTCTGTAAATTTGTGTGGATTTTTACTATCAGACAACTCTGCCCTTTTATCTCATTGCTGGGAAAATGATTAAAAGACACTGAAATGTCATGATGTGCAAAATGCATTTAGTCTATTTTAAATGAAATTTAAACCACCATTATACATGTGGATAGCTTGTTCAATGTGTCAGTAGCCCTCTCCAGATGTGTTGGCCAACAAGTCCCATCATCCCAAAACAGGTGTCCTTACCGGGATGGTGGGGATTGTAGTCCAAGGATCTGGAAGATACAGGCTGAGAAAAGTAGTTCTATTTAAAAACATTTTTTCAGGGCATACTGAACTTTGGCAATTGAACAATATAGCAATATAATAAACACGTAATATCAAATGGATTAGAAATGCAGCTGCTACAATACAGAAGAATGTTGGTTGTCATTGTTGCCACGCATGCAAATACTGCCCTTTGTTGTGTTTGGCTTGCTTGAGTTGCGTAAGTAGCTTCCAAAGAACGCACTTTGGAATTCTCTGTTCTCTCCATGACTGGAGATTCCAGCCTGCTCAGTTTAGCAAAGCCAGGGAAGCAACCTTGTTCTGGCTAGTACTTTTCATCCAGGGGAATCCTGGAATATTTACAAATTCCAGAATTAGAAAATAGTGTATTCTCCAACTTCTGCTGGCATGGTTGAATGTGGAAACTTTCTAAAACAAAACTCTCTTGCCAGTAACATACAACTATTTTTGAGAACTAAAACGCCATAGATATTGGAAAGTGCTATGGGAATTTGGATCCTCACTTTTTCCTCTGGTGTGTGGAAGGGATATTATATGCACAGAAGGGCTACTTTTGCTCCTGGAATCATCTGTTGTCATAAAACCATGAACCTCTACCTTCAAGTAGCATTAGCTTTCTATTTTTAAAGCACTTTTCCCTTGAAAAGTGTTGCCTAATATGTTTTCCCTTCTATCATAGAATCATAGAAAAGTGAAGTTGGAAGGGTCCTACAAGGCCATCAAGTCCAATCTCCTGCTAATTTAATCAAAGCATATCACTCCATAACAGGAATTAATTTCTGGCAATCGCTTTATTAGAATAAAGATGTATTCTGCTGAACCCAGAACATTGATTCTATGTGGTTTGTATGTGTGTGAGAGAGACTGGGAGCGAGTCACCTTTCTTATTTGCAGCCTTTCTACCCGAAAGCTTGTCTGCAGCCCCTGTTCACTGTGAAAACAGCATGTATGGGTTTTAACATTATACTAGTAATTCAACACCACATGTACAAGGTCAAATGTGCTTTAATGGAGCCTACAAGACAGTATTAGTTGAAAAAAAATGAAATTTAGGTAGCAACTGTATTGTTTGGCAAAAGGTGCAAGTAAAAAGACTCAGCAAACAGCTCACCATCATAGTTCAGATAATTAGAACTATGGTAACTTTCTTAGAACTAAAAGCAGATGCTTTCAAAAATTCAGAATATTTGGAGCTGGGTTTCAGCCTTCAGCTGTACCTTCCATTTGATTCCTTTTACACTCAAGAAGGATATACAACATGCAAAGAAAAAGAAAAATCCTAAACCACAACAGACCATACAGCCTGGATGAGTGTGGCAGTCAGGAATCATTTAGATGGTTCTTGAAAATTCCGGCTCTTCTCACTTGATTTGACAGCTCCTAAAATGTCTCCTCTGTCTTTCTTTTGGTGCCACATCACAAACCTTATGATGTGGTTTTCTGCCTTCTGCCCCCAATTAACTAAACTTTTTCTTTAAAACTATACTGCATTTCCAATTTTACCTCGTACTTGTGACAAATTCCAAATACACACTCTAAGAGATGTCCCCCTTCCTTCGTCAAGGTTATAGAAAGAACAGGATACGTCGTGAACTTTCAGCAGCACTTGCACCAGAAGTGCTCAGAAATGGTGTTCTCAATTCAAACCACTGTCCCCAAATCATCCTTGTTTCACTGTCAAAAAAATGGAGACAGGCCATAGCTCCAGACTAGACTATAGAAAGAATTTGATACAGAGACACAGACTTTGTTTCCTTGTTGCAGAAATCAAAAGCTTTTGTGCAACTGTGTTTCCCTGACAGGTTGACAGTAGGAGTAATGGACTGTTAGTTCTTTAGGCAAAACTCATGAATCCAGTAGACAAAGGCATCATTCTCTGCCTGTAGTCAGTAACTTGAGGGCTTTCTGTAGATTCTGCACAGCAGTGTTCACATCTTCATACTGTAAAGCACTGCCAGCATATTTGCAATATTTCTGGGCCTTGGCAAAGTCCTCAGGACTCAAACGAACTTCCCCTGTGAAAATAACGATAGATGATTAAGATTCAGGGTTGCTACATAATATACATATTTATTTAACCACTTGAAATCTAATCTTATATCAATAGTGAACACTGAAGTTGTCCAATACCCTTTACGAGTAAGCCAATACTTTGAGAGAGATTTGCCCTTTATCTGAAGCCACTAAGGAAACCTTTTAAAAAACCTCACTCAGTTAAAAGTAATCATGTTACAAACTACACAAAAAAGAGGACAATACCTCATGCGTTAACCTTACATTTCCCCTTTTCTCCCACCAAACTGGCAACACAAGTGAGACCATTCATGCCACTTCTGTATAACTTGCCTAGATATGGGAACATCCCTGTTACAAGATACACCAATGTGCTGATGCAAGATACGTGCAGTCTTGCATTTTAGTTTCCCTGACAGGTGAAAGAGAGCTAGTCATGAACTTGCTATTATTGAAGGAATAGCCATTTCATATCAACAGTGAGATTTTTAAAAAATAAAGGAAAAATACAAGGCATGTGTTCATTCACAATAAAACTACACACTTCCAGACATAATGCCAAATTAATAAGATGTGATCCTGTTGTTGTCCCAACATATGATAAAGAAATGATAAGATTTGATTCAGGCCTCTTCATTTTTTAAGGAGAATGCTGAGCTTTCTGGAGGAAAAGTGAAATTCAGTCTCTCTGCCTGATAGATTGTTTTATTTGAATAATGTTTAGTTGTTGTTGTTTTCATTGCTTTTCCCATTGTTTCATTTCTGATTGGTTCATTTTTATGCATCCTGGAGTTATGCCTGCCCCAAAACAGGCGGAAAACTGGTTATGCAGCTATGTTAAATTGAGCAAAATACGCTCTTCCTGTTGTTTGATGAAAGCTACCTGTTGGCTCCACTACTGCCACACTCTGGAATGTTAGAACATAACTATTGAGGAGAAAATGTTGCTAACAAAATGCTAATAAATTACACAGCATTTATGGCTACATTAACATGAACAAATGTGAACCACTTTATTGATTACAGGGCACAGAGAGAGATCCGTTTATTCTTTTATAACACAAGTTCAGGCCTAGGAAATACACTTCATATATTTATTTGAACCAGGAAGGCCATTGCTGTCTAGATACTAATGAATCACTACTCCCATTATCTTTCACCTTTGACAAGGCTGACTAGCACTAATGGAAACAACCTCTGGACAGCAAAAGGTCCTAGACCCAGTATAAACTAGACCAATGTTATCTATGGTTTGTAACCTGCCCTGTTCCAAAGGCCTGCAATGAGTAATATGAAAGGTGTGCCCACAAAAAGTTTATATACTGTTTATTGCCTCCTAGACAGTTAGTCACTAAGAAAAATGCCTAACCCTTCAAAAAAAAAAATCTGTTGGGGAAATCACATTGAAAATACAATTTTGCACCGGTATCCCTTGTGGCAAATTTCTCAGAAAATCTTAAGGTGCCATGATAGAAAAGGAGGCTGAAGGTTTTGGGTATCAGCTACAAGTCTTTAGTATTATAGACACACAATATGACTTTGATTAGATTGTTGGTGTTTTTTAAACTTTGTGACTGCAGAATTTCTTAATATAATCTGAAAAGCAGAATGAAATGTTATGTAATGGGGGAAAATATGTCTGTCTCACACATATATGCAAATCAAACATCATAGAAATCATAGAATCATAGAAAAGTGAAGTTGGAAGGGGCCTACAAGGCCATCAAATCCAACCCTCTACTCAATGCAGGAATACAAGCAAAGCATATCTGCCAGGTGATTATCTAGGATTTTTTGGAATGCCTCCAGTGTTGGAGCATTCACCAACTCCTGAGGTAACTGGTTCCACTGTCGTACTGCTCTAACAGTTAGAATACTTTTCCTGATATTCAACTGAAATCTCGCTTCCTTTAAATTGAGCTGATTGTTGCATCTCCTGCACTCTGGGAGGATCAAGAACAGATCTTGCCCCTCCTCTGTATGACAGCCTTTCAAATATTTGAAAAGTGCTATCACTGAGCCTTGGGGTACCCCTCCTCCCAGTGAGAGAAGGATCCATTAATCACAATCCCCTGAGTACGATTTTGTAGCCAATTGTGTATCCACCTGACACTTGTTCTATTCAGCCCACACCCAGTTAGCTTGCTAACCAATGTTATCTATAGTTTGTAACCTGTCCTGTTCCAAAGGCCTGCAATGAGTAATAATATGAAAGGTGTGCCCGCAAAAAGTTCATATACTGTTTATTGTCTCCTAGAAAGTTAGTCACCAAGAAAAATGCCTAACTCTTCAAAGAAAATAAAAATATCTGTTGGGGAAATTGCATTGAAAATACAATTCTGCACTGAGTGCTATCATATCACTCCTTAGTCTTCTTTTCTCAAGGTCAAACATGCCCAATTCTTTCAGCCTTTCCTCATAAGGCTTGGCTTCCAGCCCCCTAATCATCCTTGTTGCCATCCTCTGAACTTATTCCAATTTGTTAGCATCCTTCTTGAAATGTGGTGTCCAGATCTGGACACAATACTCAAGGTGAGGCCTAACCACATCACACTGTTGGCTCCTATTTAGCTTGTGATCTACAACAATTCCAAGATCCTTCTGACTCATAGTTGTGCTGAGCCAGGTATTCCCCCATCTTGTAACTGTGCAACTGGTTTCTTTTTCTGAGGTGCAGTACTTTGCACTTATCCCTGTTGAATTTGATTCTGTTGCTTTTGGCCCAGTGCTCCATCCTATCAAGGTCATTTTGAAGTTTGTTTCTGTCTTCTAGGGCAGTGGTCCCCAACCTTTTTAACCCCGCAGACCGGCTGGGGTGGGTGTGACGGGTGCCCACATCACTCCTGTCACTCATAGCTGGAGCTTATTTGCATGAGCCTAGGAGAGGACTGGAGGGGCAGTTAGTCAGTTAGGGTGTTAGAGAAGGAGAGTGTGAGGTATGAAGGAGAGAGGTTGAAGAGCAAAGAGAGATAGATAGTCAGAGAAATAGAGAAAACTGATATTAATAAAGATAAGCAGATTAAAGTGAATAAATAAAGCAAATTGTGAGTGTGTAACAAAATATACGAGGTTTTAATGATTCTGATTCTCTACAATGATTAAAGAACATCTGTGATTCAGATTCAACCTAATATCTTTTAAAAAAACAAGTTCTGTTGGCAGCACATGTCTGATTAAAGAGTGGATTTACAGTGTGGATAGGGGAAACCCACTGGTGGCAGCGAAGGAAAGAGAGAATGTCACCAGAATGAACCCTTGGTTTGAGGAAAACAAACATGGGACACTGGGTGAACATCACAGCGGGGCACCCCCCATGTTTATGAGCATGCGCGGAGGGCGTGTGCACTCGTGCACATGCATGAAGGGTGGGGCGGTGTTCTTGCGGGCGCACTCATGCACATGCACAAAGGGCGACACTCGGGGGCACTTGTGTACATGTGCAAAGAGGTGGGGGAGTGCTTGTGAGGGTGCATGCGCATGTACAAAGGGGCTGTGTGGGGGAGTGCATGCGTGGGTGCATGCGCATGTACGAAGGGGCTGTGTGGGGGAGTGCATGCGGGGGGAGGTCTATCTCTGCTACGGACCGGCACCATGCCACAGACCGGGGGTTGGAGACCCCTGTTCAAGGTATTAGATATTCTGCCCAGTTTTGTATCATCTGCAAATCTGACAAGCATTCCCTGCATTCCCTGATCCAAGTCATTAATAAAAAGATTGAAGCTCATTCTCAGCTTTTGCCCTCCTAATGCCATCCCTGCATTTCTTTGCTACTCGCCTGTACTCATCCTTGGTTGCCTGGCCTACTTTCCATTTCCTGTACATGTCTTTTTTGTTTTTTAGGTCCCACCTGAGCTTTTTGTGATGCCACACTAGCCTCTTTTTTTGCTGCCTCCCCCCCCTTTTTTCTTGTTGGAATTGTTTGTAGTTGTGCCTTTAGAAATTCTTTAGAAATTTCTTTAGAATAAAATGCATCCTTGTCTGACACCTTTGCCTATAGGAAACCACCATCTCTTTCCATATTTTGCCCTAATGGTAGTTTCTTGTTCACAAGACAGGTTACACATCAGGACAATCACGTGCTGAGGCACACCCATTTCCTTCGGAACAACCCAAAATTTCTCATGATCTGCACAGTCAAAGATTTTGTTATAGTCTATAAAATATAGACTAATGTTCTTATGAAATCCTTTGGTGGACTTCACTTCCCAGGGGATTAGGATATATTCATTACTTTTTGAATATACTGTTAGTGAATTCCAAATATTTCTAAATTTGAATGCACACATCTTGCTTTATTTTGTTCTAATGAAGTTAATGAGTTGGATCCAAAGACTTCCTTCCATTAATGGAAGAAGTCTTCCTCTAATGGATGTATGCATCCTGGCAGCAGAATCTTCTGTTGGAGGAGGGCAAACTTTGGCTTCAACCCCAATTCCAACAATATTTGAACAGTCAATGGGCCAAATCTGTTTTTAATCGGCCAAATGCCTCACTGCACCCAGAACCTAGAAAAATACTCAGAACAAGGCTCTTTTTATTAGTATAACTATACTTTGAGCACCTAGAGAAATGAAACTTCTTTCAGCTCCATTTATTCAAAATGAGTTATACAGATCTATGCTTAAAGTATACAACATCTATTTCAACACAGCATTAAACATCACACTGACTGTTCTCATGCAAAATATTACATCTTTTCCACATATACCAAGTTTGATACTGAAACCATGGAACTCATTTTCACTTTTAAAATATTACAAAGTTTTGTTTGCAATACCGAGGTCAACACCCATTAACTGATGACTGTGTAAAGCCCACATCTCACTTCTAAAGTTTGGTCAAAGCTAACCTCCCCCCTTTGCAAAACACAGCAAGAACAAATTACCCCAAAGAGTGTCTCAAGGACATTTTGTTTTTTTATACGATGATGCCAAAAGAAACTTAAAAATCATTCTTGTAGAAAACAGACAAGGCATCAGTCCAGTATTCAACTGATTTTCTGGAACAAAGCCTAAATTAACCAATCTAATCTTATTTTTACAGCACCTACTCTATTACATGTTCTGTTGGCAACATGCCTTATTTATTATTATTGAGGCCCACTTCAGATACCATTATAGCAACATTTTCCGGAAAGGGTTTGCAATTATTTGTAAATGAGAAAGTGAGAACTGGAAACATTTCAACAAAGAAACATTTAGAAACAGAGAGTTAGTATACATGGTACTTGCTTTAAATTGCCATCAGCGAGAGAAATAAATTCTGAAATACCAAAAATATTGACACATGGGTAAGGCTATGCCTTATGTAGCATGCAAGAAGTCAGCCTCTTTGCAAATCCAAGGATAATATTAGTATAGCAGTTATATTCATTACTGCAATGGGACAGTCCAGAGTTAACTTCCACCAACTATGAACCTTTCAGCTAAGCAGTTGATACAGAAGCTGAAAATAAAGTTAGGATCAGATATAAAGAAATCAAGCTAACAAAGAAGGAAAACTATTTAAAATGAAAATGTGTATGTGATAAAACCAATACTTATTTAAAAATTGGCTCCACACTTGCTTCTTTGAGATTACAAAACATCTTTGGGAGGGAGGAACACGTTCTGCCTGAACAGCAGCTAAATTTGTTTGTAGTAGCAAAACAAAGATTTACTCCTCTATGGACAGAAAAAATAATGATAATCTGATACCAGGGACAAATATAACCTAAAATGCCAAGTGAATAAAATTCCTGGAAGATACTCCTGGAAAAGAAAGAAAGAAATGCTTATAGCTTCATGGTGTGAAGATCTGCACAGAGGCACTTCAGGGAATGCTTTTTTTGAGCAATATAAACCATGGCAGAAATTTAATTATTTTCATGTTGTCTTTTTTCCCTGTTTCTCCTTTTTTCTTAGTTTAAGTTGATTGATGTGCTTAATTTGATTTTTGTACTATTATTATGTTGTGATTTTATTTAAAGTTTTTTTCCCCCATTGTGTTGTGAACTGTCCAGAGTGGCCTTGTAGCCAGATGGGTGGCATAGAAATTGAATGAATGAATTAATAATAAAAACAAAAATCTTACCTGCAGGTTGGATATTGTAAAGTGTAGGGTCAACTATTGGAACATTCTGTGGACTGGGTTGAATTGTGCTGCTTGCCACACCTGTACATAAATAAATACAAAACAAAACACACACATGTAGTTTTTAACTATAATCACCAAACACCTGTCACCTGGTCTAACCTATCTCACTGGGAAGCTGAGACAATAAATGAAAAGTCTGAAAGAAATAGAAAGTGCTGGGCATTGACCTGAGCTACAGCATCCATATAGTTCTCTTTAAGAATTAAATATTAACTGGGACTTAATGATTAATTTAAAAATGCCTACAATCTCTTTGGACGTCACCTAAATTGGAAAGAAGGAAGATATGTGCAAGATATGTACACATTTTATTTCAAATATTCAAAGTTTCAAAAGACCTTAGAGAACCTTAAGCCAACATTTTACAAGTAATGAAGGATAATATATTTGTAGTGTATCTATCATTAAATTTGCTATCCACTTACAAGCCTTTCACAGCATTTTATATGACACATTACACAAATATGCAAAGAACGGTGTTAAACAGAAACAAACACATGATAATTGCACACCACACTGCGTGGAGAACAAGATTAGAGAATTAAGAAAAGCAACCATAGTTCTTTTGTTGTCAGAAGCCACAGGAGCCCCACTCTATGACTACTTTACTGTACTGAACAAAGAGTTGAAAGAAATAAGACTGGAAGGAAACAATTACAGTCCCCCTTGCTAGAGCCTAAGTCAATATTTTAAATAATAACAAGCCACCACAAAAGATCATTATACCTACTGTAAGGCTAACAGTATGATCCTAAGCATATTTATTCAGAAGAAATCCCATTGTTAACCGGTGCTTATTTCCAAATAAGTATGCATAGAAGTGTAATGTGTTCATACATGGATATTTCTAAGCTCCCATCTCTAAACTTCTTTAAACAAATACATCACTCTGTTTTTCAGACTTAAGCTCACTTTGGGCCAATGTAAGGTAATGTACTGATCATATTTTCCCAAGAAAATTGTCATCTTTTTTGTTGCCAAACTTTTCCTTTCATTCAGACACACAGAAAAACAGACCAAAACTACACAGACAGAGACCAAAATTACGCTTTCCAGATAACCCAGATACATCTGCAGAGACTCCTGTCATAGCACACAAGCCCAAAGATCCAAAAGGTTACTTAATGTATGCACAACAATGCAAGTAAGCACTGTGAGATGCTTGATCTTTTCTTCTTCAAACTGGACAATTTCATGTTGTAACAATTTCAAGTTATAATTTTTGATGCAGCACAGGAAGTACTGTTTAAACAAACAGAACGTATGCGGAAATATTTCTGCAGATCTTTGGATCAGACTATATAATTATATTGTGAGTACATGAGATATGTGACTATAAACTTCCACTGTTGGTCCCAATTTTTCTAGTGGTTTACCTTGCTAACTGAACAAATTTAATTAAAGGTATTAACTGGACGGGGGATAAAATTACCATATTTTTCAGTGTATAAGACGCCCCCATTTTTCTAACTCAAAATTAAGAAATCTAAGTAGGCCTTAGCAAGTGTAGGGGAAAGGGGATCAAAGCACTGCAGGATTGCCTTGATCCCTGCGTTCTCCCTTCATGCTAAGCCCCATGTGTGAGTGTGAGGGAGAGGGAGAGAGAGCGAAAGGGAGAGGGAGAGTACAGCTAGTGGTGAAGGTTTCTAGGAGTTTTAGTCCAGGAACATCTGGGAACCCAAAGTTGGAAACCATAGGACGTTTCTTGAGCAAAACGTGTGTTAAAAAAGGGGGGGAATGTGAGAGGCTACATTTGGGCTCCAGGGGTGGAATATTGTCCAATCTTGATTTAAATAACAATTTTATAATTTCTCAGCTCCTGTTTCACAAAGTTTCTTCTCTAACTGGTGAACTCTTTATCTTTTTTCCTAAAGAAAACCTCAATTGTCTATGAATCCAGATGAAAAAAAAAGGTAATCATACAAAGATAACTTTCAGTAAAGCAATCACATTGGAAGTTCTAGCAGGACATCAGTAGCTTTCACTGACCCACCATCTCGTATCAGATATTCCACACAAGTTACCTTTTAAATACCTCTGTTCAGCTACCAAAATTGATAATGAAGCACAAATTTTTGTTGAAAACCTACTGACTGCTAGACACCCTTACTTGGTTCCAACGTCTATCCCAAGTATATCACAAATCTTCTTTCGGCATCCAAGCCCCATAATGCAACTGTATGTAATCAGATTCACTGAGAAAAGATTAACAACCAAATCTCTACATTCACTGGGGAAATCCATAACTTAAAGTGAATATCCAACATCACATTACCAGTGCAATACAGGCGTGACAGAATTCATTTTCTTTGCCCTCTCCCTTGCTGCTTTTAGTACTGCCAGAAGCAACTTCTGGGGAGCCTTCCAGCCCTCCAAGTTTTAAGGATATATGCAGGCATGCAGTATGAAAGGGAGATTGCCCCACTTTGGATTCTGCTGGTAAAACTGGTGTTGTCAGTGAGTAATGCATTACTGGGTTTAAGTTTCAGACTTATGTCAGGCATTTCTAGAAACAAAGCAGGCATCAAACTAAGCAAAAACGAAAACCAACAAGGACAGATTGGTGTCCAGGAATAATTTACTACAGGACAGACTAAGAAAAAAAAATGACGCAAGAAATCTTTTTGTCACCTACATCTCCCATCTGTAGCTACTCAAATGGGCCATCAATGAAATGTAGCCCATCTTGGACAATGGTGCTCCCCTCAAACAGGCCCCAAATGGTAGGTCTGTGCTTGTTTACAGACAGCCCTGTACCTTAAGCAACTACTCACCAACAACAGGTCACACAAAAGGATATAAACAGATTAATCAGAACCAGACACCAACTGTTTTCCTACACCAACTTTGGTAAGACCAGTAGAAAACTCAATAATGTAATGTACAACATCACAAGATGAAAAAAAAAAGATAAATCTTATGTGAAACACGCTGCTACCTCTGAGCAATATCCTTCAGCATGCATATTACAATGATTTATTTCCTCTATGTTTTTGGTGAAATGGACACAAATCTGATATCAGGAATGTCAATGTTCATAAACTAACTGGACATGTCAACTTCCCAGTACAAAATGGTCACTAATTTTGAAGTCAACATGGTGAAGTAAAGTAACTTGAAAACATATATGTACCTTAAATTACGAATAACACTTCTCACATCTGTTGAAATTATATGAAAGCTCAGGCTATAATAAATGTGTCTTTAAGGAGTCATAGATAGTATCCATTTTGTTTATAACTTTAGTTATGCAAACAAATAGTGAGCTTACCTGGAAAAAAAAACTTCATTAGTGTGTAACAAGACTAATGAAGGAGATTAATGAGGCATGAGCTATGGGATGCATACAAATAACATACCTGTGCTATGAGGCACTTCAGCGGGAGTATTAGCTGGAGCATGGGCACCAGGTGGGATCTGAATGCCAGTGTAATTGCTTGTGGGCACATTGCTTGGTTCAAATGTGGATGATGATGGTTCAGATTCTTGACTGGGCAGAGCAGGGGAGCCATCATCTTCGTTTTCATCATCTTATGAACAAAGAACAGGGATAGGTTGCTTTTTTACTAAAATGCAGTTAAAATTATTTGCATATTCATAAATATATTGGCTAAAATCCTATCCCTTAACCACCCTGGTGTAAGGCCATCAGTGATATTTTCAAGGATGTTCTGCCACAAGTTAAGAAGTCTTAATGTTACCTGATATGCGACAGAAAATTTCTCTAATTTCTTAATTTGCCACTAAAAATTAATCAAATAGTATTATGCTGATGAGTGATGAAATCTTCTGATCCATAGGGGTAGGAAGGTGGGTTTAGGTTAGTAGTTTTTTTCCTTGGTTCTTAGTTTTTATATTTTATCTTTTTGTCTTGTTGATTATATGTTAGATGGTTAAAAAATAAAATAAAATAATAAAAAGGAAAAAATGAGTGTAATAAGTAAGATTTCGGCCACAGGCACCCGCAAATAGGTAACTTCCCCTCCTCACAAAAGTATTGCAGGAAGAAATTAAAGAAGCATCCTGGATGATTTAGTTTTTCACATAAGAAATGTTAGGATAAATGAACATCCATTTACGGAGAGAATCAATATTGGCCAGCCTCAGCAAAAACATTCTCAAATTTTAACATGAAAGGACATTAGTGTAATCCCACCATGAAAGAAAGATGTATTTCTTAAAGAATAATAATAACAACAACAACAACAACAATAACAACAACAACAATAATAATAATTTATTGTCATTGTAAGTATATACACATACAACGAAATTCACAGACACCCAGAGACCTGACACATGCACACACATACAATTCCCCAAACACTCCCCACCCACTAAACGTCCCCCACTAAAAATACAAACATCTACACCGCAGGCCAAGTAACACAGTCCAACTAATTATTCACTGCTGGTGGTCTTTAAGCTCATTATTAATTGCAATTATAGCTCTGGGATAAAAACTATTGAGAAAACGTGTGGTCCAAGTCTTAATTGTTCTATATCTTCTGCCAGATGGTAACAGTTCAAAAAAGTTATAAGCAGGATGGGAAGAGTCTCTCAGGATGCTATGTGATTTCCTTAGACAGCGGGATGTGAAGATGTCATCCAGGGTTGGTAGCTGGAGCCCGATGATATTCTGGGCAATTTTAATGGTTCTCTGTAGAGCTTTTTTGTCCGCTACAGAGCTACTCCCAAACCATGCCAGAATGCCATAGGTTAGGACATTCTCAATGGTGCTATGATAGTATGACAGAAGTAAATGCTGAGATAAATTTAACTTGCTGAGCATTCTCAGGAAATACAGCCTCTTCTGTGCCTTCTTCATTAGCATGTTTGCATTTATAGTCCATGAGAGGTCCTCTGAGATGTAAGTACCCAGAAATTTAAACTACCAACTCTCTCCACTTCCTCACCGTTTATGTACAGTGGTAAATGTACATTTCTCTTCCTCCTAAAATCAATTATGAGTTCTTTAGTTTTTTTGATGTTAAGTGTGAGATGATTTTCTTTACACCAAAGTATCAACCTTTGTACTTCCTTTCTATAAGCAGACTCATTGTTTTTATTTATGAGCCCCACCACTGACGTATCATCCGCAAATAAGGTGCTATGCTGTCACAATGACTAAGTTTTAGGAATAATAGTGCCAGCTCATGCTTGGGTTCTTAAATACCACCTGTTAACAGCATCAGCACAAGTGGCTGCTTAATCCTCTAATACTGTGTATATGCCACTGAGGATTACTTTGTTACACAGCAGCTGCCCATGTAGCCTAATGTACACATCAGTGAATGAAGTGGCGATTGTGGGGCTAAGTTGTTCCAAAGCAGGCTTAACTTTACAGTATTTGCACTAAGGTTTTTGAGAATTACAGGGAGAACACCACTTTTTGAAAATGTGGCATTTTGTCAATTTACAGAAAGTTACTTTCATTCTTTTTCAACACTGACTTTTTCCAGAGAATGAAGAAAGTGAGTAAGCAGATAGGAATGGGGGAAGTCCTTCAGTACACTTAAACAATACTCCCTTTCTTTCTCAAATGCACAAAGGAAGAATTATGAGTCGTTCTTTGGAAATTCTGAAATACATTTCCGTATGAACTTTGGCACTATAGGACCCTAAAAATTGCAAGTTATGTGTTACATGTTATACACTTCAAGAATATTATTTGAAACAGATTCTGTTGGTTCTTATTGTACAGATAGCAAACTACAGCAAACCATATCGGTATTATAAGCATCAACAAATTTTTAATTCTCCTTTTGACAAAGGCCCTTCAAACTACTGAAAGACAGAAAACAGTTTATTAAAATATTTGTTAACACTATTAAAATTCAGTGCAGAAACTCAACGGTCTACTCATAAAAAACTTTTTAAAGAACTCACTATTTTGATCTAGTTACATAAGTTTATCAGTATTTGTAAACAGATAAATAAAAACAACAACTGCCACCAGCTAAGATATCTGGACAGCTCAGTGAGTTAGGTTTCTGGTTACAGAGGTACAGATTGGGAGTTTAATTTCCCACTGTGCATCACAGAAAAGCCAGACTATGTGGCCATGAGCAAGCTGCATAATCCTGGGATATCCCAGAAGAAGGGAATGGTAAACCACTTCTGAGTACTCTCTACGTAGAAAACCCTGAAAGGGGTCACCATAGAATTGATTTGATGACACACAATTATTATAGGATAATATAGCTGTGGCTGAAAACAGTTACTATTATTAACAAAGGAGCTACTGGAATCCTCCCTTCCTTACTGTTCAGGATAAGCTATGAAATAAAACGAAACAGCAAAATTATACTTCTATTGCTTTTCAGCCACTAGCAATGGGATTTTTGGACCACAAATACCACAATTCTCCATTCTGGAAGTTCTTTCTATCTTGCAGGCACTTGGCAAACATCTCAGAAAAAAAAGATTCCAGATAACACTGGGGCAGGAACAGGAACTTGGGCAAAGTTTGCCTAGCTAAACCTGATAACCTTCTAATTTTGGTCTTTCTTTTGGAGTGTTTGTCAGGTGCTAGCAAGGTAGTATAGTGCACTGAGTGAACTATAATATCTTATTTTATACATCCCAGGAATGCTGAGTTGATGCTGATCAGTGCCTCTGAGAAATTATTGGCAAAGTTAAGTCAAGAGGTATGTTTTAGACAAAGAGTTGCCCTCCATATTAATAGAAATCACTGTCACTTGATGTCAAAATGCTCATCTTCTAGTTGGAGATTTCAACAACCATAGCAATATTTGACAAAAATGGTGAAGATTATATAAAATGGGCAGAATTCCATTTAATGTGCCTAAAGTAATCAGAGACTACAATCCAGATCAAATTTTTGTTAATCAGTTTATAGCTCAGTGGTGGTGAACCTTTTTGGGCTCATGTGCCCAAACTGAGGGGAAAAAACCAAAATACTGGGTGGACTCAGAACCAGAAGTGGTGGCGGAAGGGGGAATCCCGGCACGGAGGTGCCTCAAGGCCCCTCCGCTGCCAGCACCAGTTGCTCTCAATCTGCCTGCCGAAGCACCAGCACCGGCTGCAGCCTCCTCCTGAGGTTTCACTGCATGGAGTGGCAGGGGGAGTAGTAACCTATGGCTCGAGTGCCAGCAGAAAGGGCTCCGCATGCCAGCTGTGGCATGCATGCCATAGGTTTGCCATCATTGTTATAGCTCAACAATACTTCAAGAGGATGCGTGATCCAATCCCAGTCAGCACAGTCCCATTCCATGTCAGAATTACTCAGCCATTCAAACCCAATACATAGCATATAGGAGGCATAATTCAAAAAAGCCAAAGCTTGCAACAATGTGCTCTTGCGTGCTCCCAGAAGCATTTGGTGGGGCCACTGTGAAATACAGGAAGCTGGACTAGATGAGCCCTTGGCCTGCTCCAGCAAGGCTCTTCTTATGTAATGCTAGACACAGCTATGCTCTAGAATATCCCTCAACCAGAGAACTGTAATCAATCTGTAACTTCCATTTTGGGATGTTCTTGTGCTTTCATTCCAAGAAGGTGCTGGACCACAACATTCCAGGTCTTACTCCAGAAGCACATAACCAAAAAGAACTGTGATATTTGTGGAAAATTGCTGATCCGTTAAATATTCGTCCTTTCATATTCGTGGGTTCTAGAGACCCCCCCATGAATCCAAAGGGATGACTATTTCCCCATTTTATTTGTCCCTTTGTAATAATAATAATAAAAAAACCCATTCTGCCTACCAGTCACTAATCAGCTGATCGGCGGGCCAAAAGGCAGCCACCCACCCCACAGTCTACGCCCCCACCCTTTCCTCTCCCTACCTTAGCCCTCACCCCCGCCGACACCCCCTTACCATAATCCATAATTGTCGCCACCGCTGCCAAGGTCTCCATCAGGCCTCCGCAGCCACGGCGTATAAAAAGGGAAACAGGCTGTCCTTTGCAAAGATGGTGGCTGTGGCTTCATTTCCTTACCCTAAATGAAGCCGCAGCTGCCATCTTTGTAATGGGCAGCCAGTTTCCCTTTTTACACACCATGGCTGCAGAGGCCTGATGGAAACGCACTAATAAATTCGTTATTTGTTGCTTCATGGGGGCAACTTTGTGAGTTGTCAACTTGCCATAATGGTGAGTCATCCCCATTTCTAATCTTGATTCTCATGGAAACAGAAATAACTCACTGAATTGATACTATAGCAGAGCTAAACGCGGCAAAAAGCAGCCAGAAAGCTTGGAGGATACTGAAAATATTAATCAATGATTCAAACAAAAGGACACCATAAACTAATACAATCCCTAACCAGGTAGCACATCAATTGCTTTTGGCAGAGAAGACCAATCAACACATAATAAAAATATAACATCAAAGGGATATTCAGAGAGAAGCCAACGCTTGTTTAAGAACAAAAGCTAAAAACCCCACACATAACAGAGGTTGAGAGACTGGGGGCAAGGGGAAAAGGTAAAAAACCAGAATCCTCAATAAAATTGAATTTGACAATAAAAGAAAGGGAATAAAATCTCTTTGAAGAAACAAGTTTTCTTAAATTTCTTAAAATTTGTGGATTCAGGCTGTCCCTTCCATTAACTTAAGGGTTCTGTTTGTAGAAGAGACAGAGATCTAGCAGAGGTTCCTATGGAGCAACAAAGGCTATTTTCAGTGATTCCCTTTCTCGGGCACCACCACCACACTTTGTTCCAGTGGCTTCCAACAACCTTTTTTTTAAAAAAAGGAGCATGTCTTCCCTTGTGCTCCCTAAATCAATGAAAAATGCCTCCACCTTCCTTCCTCTTATATGAGCTGTGAATGGAGGTCTGGCTTAGGTAGGCATCCTTCAGTCTCGAAAGAATATGGTAACGTACTCTGTTTGGAGGACTTGGAACTGCTTCTAGTGTGGCTGAGGAGGCCAATTCGAGAGTGACAATCCCTTCCACACTGAAGACAAATCCAAACTGTCCCATGTCCACCTCCCTGGTTTTGCTGCTTTTGTGACTTGCTCTTTGCCTCAGCCTGCTGGGCAAGGGTCTCTTCAAATTGGGAGAGGCTGTGATGCCTCCAGGCTGAATGCTCAGATGTCAGAATTTCCCATCTGTTGAGGTCTATTCCTAAGGCCTTCAGATCCCGCTTGCAGATGTCCTTGTATTGCAGCTGTGGTCTCCCTCTGGGGCGATTTCCCTGCACTAATTCTCCATACAGGAGATCCTTTGGAATCCGACCATCAGCCATTCTCACGACGTACCCAAGCCAACGTAGACGTCGCTGTTTCAGTAATGTATGCATGCTGAAAATTCCAGCTCGTTCTAGGACTACTCTATTTGGAACGTTGTCCTGCCAGGTGATATCAAAAATCTGTCGGAGGCAATGTATATGGAAGGTGTTCAGCTTCCTCTCCTGCCATGCACAAAGGGTCCAGGACTCACTGCAGTACAGGAGTGTGCTCAGGACACAGGCTCTATAGACCTGGATCTTGGTATGTGTTGTCAGTTTCTTATTGAGCCATACTCTCTTTGTGAGTCTAGAGAACATGGTGGCTGCTTTCCCAATGCGTTTATCCAGCTCGACATCTAGAGAGAGGGTGTCAGAGATGGTTGAGCCAAGGTACACAAAGTCATGAACAACCTCCAATTCTTGTGTGGAGATGGTAATAGAGGGAGGTGAGTCCACACCCTGGCCCATGACTTGTGTTTTCTTCAGGCTGATTGTTAGTCCAAAGTCTTGGCAGGCCTTGCTGAAACGATTCATGAGTTGTTGGAGGTCTTCAGCAGAGTAGGCAACAATGGCTGCATCATCTGCGAAGAGGAAGTCCCGCATGCATTTCAGTTGGACTTTGGTCTTTGCTCTCAATCTAGAGAGATTAAAGAACTTTCCGTCTGATCTAGTCCGGAGATAGACACCTTCTGTTGCAGTTCCAAAGGCATGCTTCAGCATGACAGCAAAAAAGATCCCAAAAAGGGTTGGTGCGAGGACACAGCCCTGTTTCACTCCGCTTCGGATGTCAAAGAGATCTGATGTTGAGCCGTCAGAAACTACAGTGCCTTTCATTCCATCATGGAAGGACCTGATGATGTTAAGGAGGCGAGGTGGACATCCAATCTTGGGAAGTATTTTGAAAAGGCCATCCCTGCTAACCAAGTCAAATGCTTTTGTAAGGTCTATGAAGGCCACTAAGAGTGGCTGTTGTTGTTAATACCATGTCAGTGGTGGATCTATTAGCTCGAAATCCACACTGTGATTCTGGCAGACAATGTATCTAATTTAATTCCTTGAATCTATAAGCAATATTTGAAAATAAATGTTTACCCACATTCTCCTTCCATTGCAACAGGTCCAGACTGTGGAGTCTCTCCATTCTTCAAACAATTATGAATGTATGCTGCCTTCCATCTGGCATATTTTCTGTGTTGAACATTCTAGAAAATAATGAAATGTGATTATTTTAATTGTTACTCTTCTTTGTCTGGAAAAACGTGGAAGTGAGAAATAAGGCAAGGAATGCTCAAAACATCAGTATTTATAATATTACATTATTCTTTTGTTTCTGTCGATTGGAAATCACCATAACAAATCTGAATGAAAAGCTGTCTCATACAAGCTTGCACATTGTTCCTACCAACTTTGGAAACAAATGAACAGAAAGGAAAATATCGTTCATATCTTTAAGGCTAATTCCCACTTTCCTCACAAAACAATTCAGATAGAAGAATGCACCTGGATTTCAATAAAATGTATTTTCAGCTGAGTATATGCTGGATTGAGGTATTAAAGACAAATATCTAGAAAATGTATTACACCTGAAGGCAAAACTTTCAGTGCTTGTTGAGAGATGGGGACAAAGAAGAAACATGCAATGCCCAAAGACGTAGTTCCTAGTATTTTGCACATGTTCAAAACACTATTTGAATAACAGTTTGTTCATAGCATATTCACTGATGTGTGGGAATTCAATCTAAAAATGAAAAACACTATGAAGTCTGAAATAAGAAACATATGAACTTTATTTGGAAAGAGAATGCTGAACAGCACAAAGTACCTCAGATGTTACTAAGATCTTTTTGAACCTGATCTATGTTATAAGACCTCAGAGAAATATATCTAACTTTGCAACATTTATTTACATTTATTTTACAATTGTCCCAATCCAATCCAATTTTTAAAAATATTCTATTGCATCCTATGGATTCATTCCAAGTAATTTTTCTTGGGTCATGCCCAAGTTATATTTGTTTTTATGTAAATAGGAACACCTAATATATTTACAGATAAAGAACTCTCCAACTTTCCAATTCTCAACCCTCTCCAATTCTCCTCTCTAACTGCCTCACTCTCTCCAACTGTCCCTTTTGCTCTGTCCCTCCTGTCTTCTCATAGGTTCCTCCTCTTGAGATTCAGCTATGATAGACAGGAGTGATATGGATCTCTCATCAACACTGCACTATATATGCATCAGACACGTGCTGCCAAAATAACTTGTGTATTTATCTTTTGGTTTTTAAATCACAGATGTTCTTTTATTGTTGTTTAGGATTACTCATTAAACTTCTTATATTTTATTACGTTTGCTTCTTCAGGTGCTGAATGTACTTATTCACATTAGCCAACTCATTACTATTCTCTGACTATCTATTTAGTCAGAGTGGTCTATTAGATCAGATGGGTGGGATACAAATCAAATCAAATCAAATCAATCAATCAATCAATCATTCATTCAATCAATCAAATCTCTCTCTTTACTATTCTTTTTATCTCATTCTCATTCTAACCAACTTTCCGATTCTCTCTTCTTAACGCTCTCCAATTCTCCTCTCTAACTGCCTCACTCTCTCCAACTGTCCCTTTTGCTCCGTCCCTCCTGTCTTCCTCTTGAGCTTCAGCTATGATAGACAGGAGTGATGTGGGCATTCCGCCACACACCACAACCTTACTGGTTACAGCAGCAGTCCCTGGCCAGCACTAGGAATTGGACCATGTGCATCGAGAAGCCCTAGTGCTACCCAATGCCCACAACCGTTCACTTCAGCAACTGCTGAAGATTCCACCACAGGTAGCCAAGTTCTGAAAACCATGCGGGCATACACTACTCTATAATTCTAAAACACCTGGGACAGAGGTTGGACCCGCAGGCCCCCAAGCTTCCCTGATCTCCCTGTATGGGGAGGTTCCTTCACTGTTCTGGCTGAGGAGGTTCCTGTCTTTGCCCTTAAGTCATCCAGATCCAACCCCAATGCTCCAAATTGCCATCAAAGTTATGACAAAATAATTGACTGTACTCATACACTATAGTGATGATACCCAATCTTCCACAACACATCATCCCACCATTATAAAAGATAGAGGGAGGGAAAATCAAAAACAGTGAGGTGAAAGCAAATAGCAGATTGGATGGGGGGTTGCGCCCTCTAGCTTTTAAGCTGGGAAGGTAGGCCAGAGAGAAACCCCTCCTTTTCCAATCCTCCTGCAGCACCATCCTTTACCTGGATTTCCCTGACAGCCAATATCAGGTACCCAGGGGAACTCCCTGCTGGCCAATTAGAGCTGGTAAGGGACCCTCTGGCAGCCACCCCGCCTGCTGGACTGCAGGGCCACCACCGCCATACCCACCCTGGCATCTGAGCCTGTATGATCCCTCCTTGGCAACAATTACGGGTGACCAGGTAAGTCTGGGCCCCTGTTTTCACATGCAGATACAGTGGTTCTTGCTTTTTATTAGGAAGTAACTTTGCCCCTTCTATCAAGATTTGTATGCCAAGTTATCAGTTTACCCTGAAAGTCTGTAAATCCTAAGTGAAGGACTAGCTTTAGACTTTTACATAATAAAATGTCCCACTGCACTTACAGAAGATGTCACTACATGATTCTCCTTTCACTTTTAGCAGCCTAGTACCATATTCTATTTCCACTCAATATAGTCCACCAACCTTCAGGACTAGCCTCTGAAGAAAGTAAGGGAGAACACAGCTTCTAAAAATCTCCTTTTACTAGATGTTTTCTGGACTCAGACATCATTAGATAAAATGACGCGTGAAAAGGAAGGATTCTAAAATGATAGATACAAATTGGGTTGGTTTGTTTTTTACATGGACTTAACATTTTAGAAAATGATATATTTATCTTCTCGATAAAAGTTATAGAATGAGGCCCTAAGACATATGTCACGATAATTTTTCCAGCCATACACTTCTCAGCTCAGATTGTTTTGGGACTAGCTAGTTCATGTTTTTTTCCCAGTACTCTGGGTTCTCGAAATAACACTAGCTCCTGAGTAACTAAGAGTTGTTGGACAAAACACAACATCTGGAAACTTCCCTCTTGTCCTTCTTTTGGATTAACTCTTCTTTAGCCATTAGCAACATGGAAGCTTCAGTTTTCTTTATTTTTAATTGTGCAGAAGGTGGTCTTTTCCTAGATGAATTTTAACACGAAACAGTCACAATATCAGAAACACAGTGACAATCTTACAGATGCTGGGTTAGTTGCTCCTTGGAACATTTGTGACTGCTGGGAGGGAAGGTCACAACTTTGACTCTCAATGAGAATAATCTGTCTAGCCTCTAAAAGGCACTGGATCAAGGGACTGAGGTACCCATATATATTTTCTGATCAGGCAAAATAAATCCGTGATTCAGCAATCCCCCAACCATCTACTATAATGTTCTTTACAGTATAACAACCTTGTGTTCTAGAACAATTCCTTTTTCTAGCAAGAACTTATTATAATGCATTTAGACTAATCATTTCAATTTTTGAGTGTGGTATTATTCAAGATGATGTTTAAGTATATTCACTGAAAACATGCTGTTCAATTTCAGAGCCACGGGCTTTATTTATAAAATATAGTAAATTCATGCACTCTCTTTTAGGTTTTGAATTACTTTAACTTGGGTTGCACTAATTTTACTGGCATTCCAAAACTCCCTTTGACTAGCTTTGAAATTTGCCTACACCAGCTCTACATTTTTTTTATTATTTCTGCACAGCCTTTCAACACTTCTGGCATTCTTTTCCATCTAATTTCATCCGTTTTGCACAATTCCTACAATTTTATTTTCCGAAAGGGAAATGCCAGAAAATGGAACATCTTGTTTAGAATTTATCTGTTCCAGCATGTCCCAGACTAAACCTCCTGCAGAACATGTGTAAGCAAGAGAAACTGACGGTGAAGTTGGCACACATTTGTATTTCAAAGTAGTCTTTCTGATGGTTTCCATTTTTTCCTTTTAACAAGCATACCTAACTTTCATCCTGTTCAGCCAAAATAAAGAGTCTTTGTTTAAATAAGTCTGCCTTGAGAGTTGCTTAAATTATATTTACCCCAGTTAGTTAAAAGCAGGGGTGGGTCACTTAATAGGCACAAGCTGGATGCATTCTGCTAAACTATTCTTTGCAATCCTTCAGTTGTCCAGCAAAAGCACCATGTGGTTCAAAAAGTTTTAATTTAAAACAAGAGTGTAGAGCACAACCTGACACATCTGTCATTCTTACAGAAACAGATTCCATCTATCACGTTGTCCTTGGATTTTGGGACACTTTCAACACCTAAAACTAGCACTCCTAAACTGAAAGGGACAAGGCTTATCATATATTCTATACATAATCTAGTCCCCTAACAAGTTCCTAAAGAGCTATTCGTAAGGTTTGTCTCACAAATGGATTCTTCTGAAGACTGGTCCTGCTGGCAGGAGACCATTATAAAAGTAGTCTGTTCCTAACATGGCCAACAGCATTACATGCCTAACTTCTGCGTAGCACAACGTTGCAATACCATGCTATTTTCTGTGTAACACAATGTTGTTTTCATTTTAAATATACACATTCCGCATCCCCTAAGTGTAGTGTTGTAATTAAAGCTTCATCATCTGAAGACAAGTTGCATTTTTTTAAAAGCTATAACTAGTTTAAAACAAAACCAAACCAAACCAGAACAGTTTTCTCACTTGCCCTCCCTAATTCCCTCATGACAACTACTCCTCAGAATCGAACTGCAATATTGCTCTGTTATATCCCTCTCTTCTCACATAGGAAGCCCAATATTTCTTGTGTGGTTTTCATTACACATTTCCACAGTCCTGGCTGGGGGGCGTACTAGTTAATTCTGGTTAGACTATTGGAAGACTGGCTACATTACCTGAAATGTGATTCCACATCACCTTTGCTATTTCTATTTCTCTATGGCACAATAGTTCAAAGAAGCCCACTTCATTGTAATTCTTTTTCACATACAACTGGAATAGTATCAAGTGTATCATCATGTGAAATGCAATTGAAATTTCTTTCACAGTTCAAAGCTCAGCTCCAAAAGTTCAGAACACATACGATCAACAAATCCAAAGCATCAAGCTTATGGAAAATACCTAATACAGAATAATGCTTAAGACAATTTTCTTGGTGTCTTTCAGTTAAAAATAAGCGCTCTGTTCATTCAGTTCTTTAACCACATTACTACCTTTGATTTTAAATACAAAAATGATTGGTCTTTTTCTTTCGTCTGACCAAATAAGCTGCCTTCATCAATTACTGATCTGTCTGCTGTTCCCTATTACTCAAAACTACTATAATAGTCACTATTATGCTGCTACTGCTATTCAGTATTACTCAAAACTATCAATTAACAGTTTCTGTTTTGTAAAGGGAACATTGTGCCAAGATTCAGGGAACCAAGGAGCAAGTTTTGTCCATAGAAAGAAAAGAAGTTTAAGTTTTCTGTTTCCCAAACCATACAGTAAATTTATGAAATCGATATGTTCAAATACTGAGGCCTCCAATCTTGCAAAACTCAAACCATGACCAGGCCCTGTTGAGAATAACGGAACGAATTAGTCACAGCCAACAAAAGCCTCATTGCTCTTCTTAAAAATGAGATTTAGTCACAACACAATTTAGCAGGATTAGGAACAAAAGTCTGTTTCTATGTGTCATGCTGTTATGATGTACATTGCTGAACTGTGCAACTTACCTCATCTGTTAGTTCTCCAAACACAGTCAGGACATCTATTAGAAGACTTGCCGTATAAAAAGACTTAATCATGTTTCTAGAAGGGGAAAAATAGATTTTTAACTTCTCAAAAAGATTACAATATACACAGACACACTCCATGTACAAAAAACTGAAAGTGAAAAAGAGTTCCCTTCCATCTCTCCAATAGTCTCAGGAGGAAAATACAAAACCACCTCAGGATACCTGTATCTTAAAGTGTGGTGTTGTGGCGAACAGTTTACACCCCCAGATTGGTGGAGCCATTGCTTGAGCTTTTCTGCATCATGTAAGGATATGAAGGAAGGTTGGCAATTTGTTTTGGATTTATCTGCAGACCCCCCCCCAGTTTCAATTTCAAATGTTCCTCAGCTATAAAGGTAAAGGTTCCCCCTGACATTTAGTCCAGTCGTGTCCGACTCTAGGGTGCGGTGCTCATCCCCGTTTCCAAGCCATAGAGCCAGCGTTTGTCCATAGACAGTTTCCGTGGTTACGTTGCCAGCGCAACCAGACATGGTATGCCGTTACCTTCCCACTGTGGTGGTACCTATTTATCTACTCACATTTACATGCTTTTGAACTGCTAGGTTGGCAGGAGCCGGACAAGTGACGGGAGCTCACTCTGTCATGTGGATTTGATCTTACAACTGCTGGTCTTCTGACCTTGCAGCACAGAGGCTTCTGTGGTTTAACCTGGCTATACATTACTTTTATTTGTTCACTCACTTGTGAAACCGTCCAGCTCGATCTTCATTATCTGCATAAAGAAACATTTTCAATGCATAATTCTCCACATGGGCACAGCCAACTATTTCTTGGGTAACTGCTTCATTATCAGCCAACTGCTTCTTCAGCTGGAAGGGGGGAAAGATAGATTGCAATGGGTTGTTTGCATTTGCTGAGAAAAATGAATTTGCAAGGGCATATTTTAGATTCCTAGTTTTAAAAAAGGAAAGCTGAAATTCCACAAGCATCTCACAGATTCATATCATGGCTTTAAACTGGTGACCTATACACCTGCTTTGGGTCAATATAAGCTAGCATGTTACTTCGTTTCCATGGTTCCACAAATGCCCATGCTGTGTGAATGGAGTGGAGCAATATAATGAAGATAGGACCTTCTGCTTTCCCTTCATGTTCATTAGAGCAAACAAAGGGCTTCAGACTGGGATCTGGCTCTCTTACATAGACTGTTTAGGTACTTGCCTGTATCTGAACAGTTCTGGCTGCAGCCAGTCTACATCTCATCCTTGGCCATCAAAAGAGCATCCTGATTCTTGCTGCAGCAATTAGGAACTGTGTACTACGTGGGTTAAGAACTGGTACCACGTGAAGTGTTACAAGAAGAAATTATACGAGAACTTTGTGTCTGATATGCAACATAAAACATCAATACCAAAAGTGGTATTGGGGCATTTGTCTTGTCAACAACTAGATATACAGAGCAAGAAGGCATGTGGAGCATGGTATGAAGGAAATCTTTGTGGGTGATGGTCAACTTTACCATGACAAAGCACTATTCACTCCCATCTACATTCATTCTCTTTGTAACCTGCTGAATGATAATGTTATTCATACTGTAATCATAAGGGGTCAACAGCTCCCTTTAAAAAAGCTAAAACAAAAATATTCAGGACTTTCAAATAATTGCAACATTCTGTTACTAAGGCAGGTAAAGGTAAAGATTCCCCTTGACATTTAGTTCAGTCGTGTCCGGCTCTAGGGCGCGGTGCTCATCTCTGTTTCCAAGCCATAGAGCCAGCGTTTGTCTGAAGCATGACTAGACATGGAACATTGTTACCTTCCCACTGAGGTGGTACCTATTTATCTGCTTCCATTTTTACATGCTTTCGAACTGCTAGGTTGGCAGGAGCTGGGACAAGCGACGAGAGCTCACTCCGTCATGTGGATTCGATCTCACGACTGCTTGTCTTCTGACCTTGCAGCACAGAGGCTTCTGCAGTTTAACCCGCAGCGCCACCACGTCCCTGTTACTAAGGCAAGCTGTGGCTAAATGACCACTGTTCAGTTTTTTAATAGTTCTGTGACACTTTGTGTCCCTATCTCAATATAAATAAAGCTCTGTATGAAGGCTCAACACTATTCAATTCATAGTCTGTTCCACAGCCACTGAAGGTCAATAGGAGTATATAGCTTCCTCATCTGAAGTACTGTAGCTTGCAGCATTTAATATAAATAACAAGCTAATGAAACGAGAGTCTCTGGTTCAACCTAACTGCACCAGTGATCTAAAGATTTACCGGAATGCTTAGTCAAGCAGCATATTACGATTCAAAGACTCCTTTTCAGAGATGTTACAGAGTACAAGCTTCAGGTTTCCTAATAAAATCAGCAAGGTAAATAACACTGTTACAGTTACAACAGGTGGATTTAGGGCACATGAATAGATTTACTGTTGCCGTTTAGTGTATCCATATAAAACAAAAACCAAAGATATTAGACTATTCTTGTATTTCTTACATTGCCAAGAGTAGTAAAGAAAACATGGGAATGACAGCCTATTTTATACGATGCACGTTAACTTACTATAGAGGCTAGACATCTGCCACACCAATGAAACTGGCAGCAGAAGGAAGTCAGCTTGATCCATATTCTGATTCTTCCAGCTACGGATCAGCAAAGAAACAAGACTTGTATTCTTATTCCTCTTTTCTTCCCTACTGTGCATACATTCTCTCAATTTTTGTGGCATTTTAACTATAGTTTTTCAAGATGTAAAAAATGGGCAAAATATAGTTAAAAACACTAACCCATATTCAACTGAATGAACAAAGGATTTTTCCTAACCTATCTGGGCATTATTAAAAAATGGTAAGGAGAAAACAAGAACTGGAGATAGATACAAAAAAAGGGAGGAGGGTGCACAAGCCTACAGCTCACAAGGACCCTCAAGTGAAATCTGATCAAGTTTTTCTGATTACTCAACTACTTCTGTCAATGGAACTCCTGTCCTGGACAGTCTGGAACAAATTTGTGAAGGGCTGCAACTACACATGGAGACTTCTATTTGCTCACACCATTTGATTTGAGTGAGGTTTTCTTCTATGTAAATATGTTCAGGATTGCAGATATGGCACTTTCTGTCATGATCATATGAGTACATATATAAAATTAACAATACAGTTGTAGGTCTACTTACACCTTCAAGTTGATCCATAAGCTTGCATAGAAATTTGCGACATTCTGGATTTTTACTGTCAATCTTCATCCCTGTCTGCATAGCATACAAACGGCCTATAAATGACAAGATGCAATGACGTTCATGGATGAATCGGTAATTCATGCTTTAGTGTGATTTAAAAGTCGAGTTTAAATCTTAAAGACATAAAAGCATTAAATATCTCGGCCAATATCGTTTGCTTAAATGTGGAAAAAGAGGGCAAGTGGATACCCGTTACCACTGCTCTGGAAGGCCTCCTGGTTGTGTGGCCACTTGCACAATTGAACTTGCAATCAAGGTGAGAACAGACCAGAGAAGAGCCAGATTGTCCTCCTGTTCCATGTTTAGGCAACAGGATACTGGCCCTAGTAATTAAGGCAAATAAAAAGATTCTGGAGCCAGAGGATTGTGCAACTAATTCCACACATCCAATAGGTTCTGAGTCTGCTAACACAAAATCTCTCTCTTTACCTCCTGTCATGCTACATAGCAAGTTACTGATTTCAGGCAGAACCTTCAGAGCAGTTTGCAACTTAGCATGATAGCCTGGTGTTCAAGGAAGACATCAAAATTCCAGTAGAAATGTCCCCATCATACTGTGTGCTGAACAAAACTATTTTGATTCCACGTATGTTCTCTGTCAATGTTCCACACCATCTGAAATTTATAGAAGGCTCCACTTCTGGAAGGATCCTGAGTACAGTATCCTCTTGAAACATTTTGAACTGGACAAAGTGACAGAATCAGAGTGGTTCCGGGCAAATGGAGAGCAGGAAGGGAAGCAGCCTGTTTGCTTTACATTTACCACACCTACTTCATAGACCCTCCTTCATGGATTGCTGCCTTGTCGTGGCGAAGGGGCTTGAGTAACTCAGAGAAGCTATGGGCTATGCCGTGCAGGGACACCCAAGACGGACAGGACATAGTGGAGAGTTCCGACTAAATGCAATCCACCTGGAGTAGGAAATGGCAATGCCACTTCAGTATCTTTGCCAAGAACGCCCCATGATCAGAAACAAAAGGCTAAAAGATATGACGCTGGAAGATGGGCCCCTCAGGTCGGAAGGCGTCCAACATGCTACTGAGGAAGAGTGGAGGACAAGTACAAGTAGCTCCAGAGCTAATGAAGTGGTTGGGCCAAAGCCGAAAGGACGCTCAGCTGTGGACGTGCCTAGAAGTGAAAGGAAAATCCAATGCTGCAAAGAAAAATACTGCATAGGAACCTGGAATGTAAGATCTATGAACATTGGGAAGCTGGAGGTGGTCAAACAGGAGATGGCAAGAATAAACATCGACATCCTGGGCATCAGTGAACTAAAATGGACAGGAATGGGCGAATTCAGCTCAGATGATTATCATATCTACTACTGTGGGCAAGAATCCCGTAGAAGAAATGGAGTAGCCCTCATAGTCAACAAAAGAGTGGGAAAAGCTGTAATGGGATACAATCTCAAAAATGATAGAATGATGTCAATACGAATCCAAGGCAGACCATTCAACATCACAATAATCCAAGTTTATGCACCAACCAGCATTGCTGAGGAGACTGAAATTGAACAATTCTATGAAGATTTACAACACCTTCTAGAACTGACACCAAAGAAAGATGTTCTTCTCATTCTAGGGGACTGGAATGCTAAAGTAGGGAGCCAAGAGATAAAAGGAACAACAGGGAAGTTTGGCCTTGGAGTTCAGAACGAAGCAGGACAAAGGCTAATAGAGTTTTGTCAAGAGAATAAGCTGGTCATCACAAACACTCTTTTCCAACAACACAAGAGGCGACTCTACACATGGAAATCACCAGATGGGCAATATCGAAATCAGATTGATTATATTCTCTGCAGCCAAAGATGGAGAAGCTCTATACAGTCAGCAAAAACAAGACCTGGAGCTGACTGCGGCTCTGATCATCAGCTTCTCATAGCAAAATTCAAGCTTAGACTGAAGAGAGTAGGAAAAACCACTGGGCCACTCAGGTATAATCTAAACCAAATCCCTTATGAATACACAGTGGAAGTAAAGAACAGATTTAAGGAACTAGATTTGGTGGACAGAGTGCCTGAAGAACTTTGGATAGAGGCTCGTAACATTGTCCAAGAGGCAGCAACGAAAACCATCCCAAAGAAAAGGAAATGCAAGAAAGCAAAGTGGCTGTCCAACGAGGCCTTAGAAATAGCAGAGAGGAGAAGGGAAGCAAAATGCAAGGGAGATAGGGAAAGTTACAGAAAATTGAATGCAGACTTCCAAAGAATAGCAAGGAGAGACAAGAGGGCCTTCTTAAATGAACAATGCAAAGAAATAGAGGAAGATAACAGAAAAGGAAAGACCAGAGAGCTCTTCAGGAAAATTGGAGATATTAGAGGAACATTTTGCGCAAAGATGAACATGATAAAAGACAAAAATGGGAAGGACCTAACAGAAGCAGAAGACGTCAAGAAGAGGTGGCAAGAATACACAGAGGAATTATATCAGAAAGATGTGGATATCCCGGACAACCCAGACAATGTAGTTGCTGACCTTGAGCCAGACATCCTGGAGAGCGAAGTCAAGTGGGCCTTAGAAAGCCTGGCTAACAACAAGGCCAGTGGAGGTGATGGCATTCCAATTGAACTATTTAAAATCTTGAAAGATGATGCTGTTAAGGTGCTACATTCAATATGCCAGCAAGTTTGGAAAACTCAACAGTGGCCAGAGGATTGGAAAAGATCAGTCTACATCCCAATCCCAAAGAAAGGCAGTGCCAAAGAATGCTCCAACTACCGTACAATTGCACTCATTTCACACGCTAGCAAGGTTATGCTCAAAATCCTACAAGGTAGGCTTCAGCAGTATGTGGACCGAGAACTCCCAGAAGTACAAGCTGGATTCCGAAGAGGCAGAGGAACTCGAGACCAAATTGCTAACTTGCGCTGGATTATGGAGAAAGCCAGAGAGTTCCAGAAAAATATCTACTTCTGCTTCATTGACTATGCAAAAGCCTTTGACTGTGTGGACCACAGCAAACTATGGCAAGTTCTTAAAGAAATGGGAGTGCCTGACCACCTTATCCATCTCCTGAGAAACCTATATGTGGGACAGGAAGCAACAGTTAGAACTGGTCATGGAACAACTGAGTGGTTCAAAATTGGGAAAGGAGTACGGCAAGGCTGTATATTGTCCCCCAGCTTATTTAACTTATATGCAGAATACATCATGCGGAAGGCTGGACTGGAAGAAACCCAAGCCGGAATTAAGATTGCCGGAAGAAATATCAACAACCTCCGATATGCAGATGATACCACTCTGATGGCAGAAAGTGAGGAGGAATTAAAGAACCTTGTAATGAGAGTGAAAGAGGAGAGTGCAAAAAACGGTCTGAAACTCAACATCAAAAAAACTAAGATCATGGCCACTGGTCCCATCACCTCCTGGGAAATAGAAGGGGAAGATATGGAGGCAGTTACAGATTTTATTTTCCTGGGCTCCATGATCACTGCAGATGGAGACAGCAACCACGAAATTAAAAGACGCCTTCTTCTTGGGAGGAAAGCAATGACAAATCTTGACAGCATCTTGAAAAGCAGAGACATCACCTTGCCAACAAAAGTCCGAATAGTCAAAGCTATGGTTTTCCCTGTCGTGATGTATGGAAGTGAGAGCTGGACCATAAAGAAAGCAGACCGCCGAAGAATTGATGCCTTTGAATTGTGGTGCTGGAGGAGGCTCTTGAGAATCCCCTGGACTGCAAGGAGAACAAACCTATCAATACTAAAGGAAATCAACCCTGAGTGCTCACTGGAAGGACAGATCCTGAAGCTGAGGCTCCAGTACTTTGGCCATCTAAAGAGAAGAAAAGACTCCCTGGAAAAGACCCTGATGTTGGGAAAGTGTGACGGCAAGAGGAGAAGGGGACGACCGAGGATGAGACGGCTGGACAGTGTCTGCGAAGCAACCAACATGAACCTGACACAACTACGGGAGGCAGTAGAAGACAGGAGGGCCTGGCGTGCTCTGGTCCATGGGGTCACGAAGAGTCGGACACGACTAAACGACACACTTCATAGACCAAAATCAGGAGAAAAAAAAATCCAAAAGCCAAGTGCTTCATGCTGGCATAATTTTCTTCTAAAATATTTTCTGGTGAAATTAATAATAAACTCTATAGTTTACACAAATTTCTAAGCAGCAGCAAGAGCTGCTCTGGTCTCCCACACATATGGAATATGTTTTAAAAATACATAGAACTTAACACAGTACTAATGTAAACAGCATACACTTGTTTAAATTAGTACACTCAGATGTATCTAGCATACAACTCAATTTAAACTGCTTTACTAATTTATCAGCTTCCAGTTTTAGTTACTGAAAAACATATATTATTTGCTTCTTTTTAGTCAAAACTAGGGTTGTAAAAAAAACAAAGCAAATGGACTGCTTGCATCACACCCCATAATGCTTAAAACAATTTCTAGGTTTACAATTTAATTATGCAGACTATACACTGAAACCAACCCCCAGCTAGGAACTCAATTTACCGGTCCTTGGAAGGATGAACCTTGAGCTAGCTATCTGAGACTGAACCCAGGTCATGAGCAGAGTTTGGGTAGCAGTACTGCAGTTTAACCACTGCACCATGAGGCTCCTTAAATTTTTTTTTCTTTCTTTGTTCTTGAAAATGTTTTGCAAGCAAGAAGAAAACATCTCAACAGTTTTCTCCCCACTGGGAGAGATTATGGGAGGTGTGAGGAATCCTTTGCATTTCTCTAAAAAGAAGAAATCAGTAGAGTCTTTTTGGTCAGAAACCTATATTTTTTGCAGAAAACATTGTGTTTTTGTGCAAACCCACAGGTTTTTTGTGAATTCTGTTGCTGATGAAAAAAATGTTGGTCTTTTCACTTTCATGTACGAGTGAAAATCTAATAGTGGTTGTCTGGCCTATTTTTGACAGGGTCTGTAAGTGTGACAAAGCATTTCTTTTGCTGATGATGAGAAAAATGGCAAGTAGTACTGTATTAATTAAAGCCCTAGTCATGGCTCTCAAAGCAGTTTAAAGAAAAAAAAAAAGCATAAAAACCAACTTTAAAAAACAGCTCAG